GACAGCAAGCTCCAGAGAGCGCCGTAGATCAGATTCAAAAAATGTCGTTAATACAAGGTCGTTTGCAAACAGCAACATTCTCATGATACCTTTTTCACCGATACACTCATTGCCTTGACTGCGCCTGGCCATTCTATCCATGCACAACGCAAACAAGAGAGGGGTCAAAACGCGGCCTTGGCGGAGACCAGCGCCAACCCTGAAATGTTTGGGTTCAACGTCATTCACTTTGACGCAGCACCTGCTATCAGAGTATAGTGATTGAATATCCCGTAGCAACAGATTATCCATGCATGTACAACAAGAGCGGAATAGAAGATTGAACCCAGCCTGGTCTTGGAAAGTGCCAACGCTAAAAGATCTCGACTTAACACCATTTAGTCTGAGGTAGCACCGGCTCTGAGCATGTAATGATTTGATGGTCTATAGCAACTGGCCACTGATTCAGTACTTTCGTAGGCATACTCACAGATTATTGCGCGGAATCCAGTCGTAGGTCTTCTCTAGACCAACAAAGCGCATTGGCACCTGTTTGGCGAACTCCCACTATTTCTTAACAGTCTCGCGTAGGGCGAATATCTGGCCAGATGTGCTTCGGCCGCCAGAAAGCCACACTAATCTTCTATATTGGATTCAGTTTTTCCGCGGCAACCCTTCAATCGCACCTTTACGTAAAATTTATCCGAGAGGCACAATAACGTAATGTTTTGATAACTGAAGCACTCCCAGTGGTTTCACTCTTTGAATAGGGCTGCAACAACTTCCGTTTTCCTCTCCGTTTGTGTCTTTCCCGCAGCCAATGCAGTTTGATAGATACGTGTAAGATGATACATGTTCTGTTCACCTAATGTTTTGAGCATTTCAGGCGGATTTTATCAATTCCAACAGTCTTCCGAGTTTTCAAGCTCTTCACAATTTGCATAATTTCTTCTACGAAAACAGTAATATCCACCGCCTGCTGCTCTACAGGCAAGTCTTCCCGCGGTTGTTCGGGGCTAAGGTGTTCCTCAAAGCGCTCTTTCCACGACCGAACAATGGTCCCATTCTCGGTAAGAGAGTCTCCAGCCTGTCCTTCAAGATTTTTTGACTGCCCTTCCTTTCTCGTTAGAGCTGGTAAATGATCTGCAAGAATATTTTGTCCCCCATCTGGAAATTCAACTCTAACAACTCACCGATCGTCTGCCAGGAATCAGCTGTGGCTGTCGCTGCCGCCGTACACGCTTCGCCATATCGCGCGGAGTAGAACGGTCTTTGTTTTCAAGCCATTTCTTGAATACAGCCTTCTGTTTAACTGCTAGTTGTACTTCTCATGTTCACCAAGAAAGTCTTTCTGAGCTCCAAGCAGCGGGTCAACTCGTTTATGACCGCAGCATTCGGCAGCAGCCTCGGGTATTCCACTCTTAAAGAACTGCCACTCGGTTTCCACTTACTTAGTCATCACCGCGATCTGCTTATACCGTGGAGCGATGTTGTAAGCAAATTTCGCTCTCGTGTCCACAGATTTCGCACTCCTCCGCAGAAAATGCTTTCCATTTGATTCTCTGGTTGCATCTTCCACCAGATCTTCTTACGCTACTCCAGTTCTCTAACAGCTCTGCGCCTCTCTTAAAGCGAACATCCATTACTGAACGTCTTAATTCAGGATACGATTATCAAATCGTATCGAAGTCGTACGATCAGCGACTTCTGGGCACAAATTTCCTTCTGCCAGGTATACTGATGTACTCTTCGATGCTCGAAGTTGTCCATAATGAACAATGCGTTGTTTCCACGAAACCGCAACAACTTCATGCCGTTATTGTTGAGGTTC